CCTTTCCCCGACCTGTTCGACCCCACTGCTTCCTAGCAACCCCGCTCTCACCAGGGCGTGCGCAGCGGTGGGCGGCAGCCCTGGGGGGCCCCGTGCAGCCCTACGGAAATCCACACGCCGCCGACGTCCCGGAGGCCGGAGCCGCGAGCCCCCCGACAGCAGGTGAGGAGGGGCTTGTTCCTCACATGGTATCGTGGCGGTCTGCGCAGGAAGGGTGGGCTGGGGCCAGGGAGCAGAGTCGTGACTCAGTTTCCCTCCTCATCGCCCAACTCCCAGGCGTGGAAGAGGAGGAAGGGGAGGCCTACGAGGAGCCCGACAGCGAGGAGGGCTCCGAGTTCTATGAGAACGACTCCAGCCTCGGGCAGGACCGGCTCTCCCGGGGTAAGGCTGCCTCTTCTCCACGCCCCGCCTCCCCGGGTGGTGGGGGCCCCCTTGGACGCCCCTCCTTCTCCGCCAGATGGCAGCGGCTATGAGAACCCGGAGGTCCGGTCCGTGGGGCCTGCGGATGAGGACTCCTTCTCCAACGGTAATTCGGGGTCCTCCTGGTACCTCAGAGGCTGGGCGGACCCAGCGCGCTGCCGAGCCGCTAGCAGAAAGCGGGCGCCTGGAGCTCTTTCTTGTTCCGCAGCTGAATCTTACGAGAACGCGGATGAAGAGATGGCCCCGCCGGCAGCCAGGCCGACAGGTGCGTGTGAGGACTGTCGCGCTCCTGGGCAGGGGAGGCTTGGGAGCCAGGAGCAATAGTGTCTCCTCTCTTCTTTTAATAGACTTCCTGAGCCCCCAGGGGTCCGCCTGGGACCCCAGCCGGGAAGCAACCTCGCTAGGTGAGTTGCTTAGGATCACACTTTGCCCAGCTGGGGCTGACCACCCGCAGCTTTGACACCAGGAGCAACCTTGACCTGACTCACTGGACCCAAGCCCAACCCTGAGCTTAGATTTTATTACTAACCCTAATTTCAACACTGCGTTCAGTCCCAATCCTATGCTCAGTTGCTAAATCTGAGTGTCAACACGGAAGCCGGTGCAGTTCCCACTTAGATTTCTGACCTCGCCCAGCGCCGATGTGGACTCCAGCCTTGACCACAGCTCTCTCTACAACTTCCTCACACTCTCGACTCCTCCCAGCTCTGTGCTTGACCCTCTCTCAGACCATGACCATATTCTGCCCCAAACCTAACCCTGATTGGGTCCCAGTTAGGTCCCAAACCAGACGCTGACTTAATCACTCCCAGCACAACATGGGCAGAGTGTCCACCTTCCCTCTCACTGCCGCCTGTGCCAAGCCCTCAGTGTGGCTCCTGGACCTCCAATTCTCTATCCCTTGCCCAAGCAGGGTCCCAGTCCTATGAGGATATGAGAGGGATCCTGTATGCAGCCCCACAGCTCCGCTCCCTTCAGCCTGGTCCTCATCACGAGGAAGGTGGGTGCTTCTGCCATTGTCCCCAGCTGTCCTCTGGATCCATTTCCCCTCCCAGCCTACTCCCTGCCCTACCTGCTTTACTCTTTTCTGATCTTGTCCAGATGCAGATTCTTACGAGAACATGGATAATCCCGATGAGCCAGGACTGGCATGGGGGGGAGGGGACCACATGGGGGTCTGGAGTACCAGGTGACTCCCAAGTGACCAGGTGAGCTGGGAACTGCCCCAGGGCAGGGGCAGCAGAAGAGAGATGCACAGGAATGGATGGGTTGCTGGGATCTGGGAGGGAGAAGGGAAGGGTTTCCCAGGGCCTGGCAGGCAGGGGTGGGCCCCTGGGCCCCTCCTCACCCCCATTCCTTCTATATAGCTTGGGCTTCCTTAGGCCTGGAGATCCAGACTTGAGTCTGAAACCTGGGGCAACCTCTGCAGGGACTTTGCTTGGGGTGTGTGTGTGGGGGGTGCGTGCCAGTGAAACTTCTAACCCCCTTTGCTTTTTCCAGATAAACTCAATGAGATCTTCCAGTTGTGTAGTGCCAGTGTGTGGGAGGGGAAGGAAAGACAAGGTTGGGTCCTCTCCTGTCCCCTCTCCAGTCCCCCCAAGAAGGAAGGGCTGCACTGCATGCACTGTGCTGCTTTTTCCCTCCTGTGGCTGGTTCGGCGACATTGCTCTCACTGCCCACAGCCCACCTGATTCCTCCAGGAGACTAAGGACAGACTAATTCCTGGGCCCTTAACCTGCTACTCATTAAAAGTATGGCTTGTGCTTTCTTCAGAGGCAGTGAGAGACTTGGCAGCTGCTTTTGCTAGAGAGAGACAGACAGACAGACAGAGACACGACACTTCACTTGGGCCTGGGCCTACTGATGCTCAATGGATAACTAAAATCAGAACAAAGCTTGACCTACATTTTGCTTGTGTCTCCTTTGTTACCCTGACGCTTTTCTTTGAGATCCTGGGTCAGCTGTACCTATAGACATGTTGATCATTTAGGGTGTGTCTGTTAAAAGCTGGCAATACAAGATTGATTAGCCCTAAATTTACATAAACCTTCTCACTCACTCAAGACTGAGGACACAAAGATAAGAGTTTTGCAGGGACATTCAACTACCAGTGTGTGCCCAGAAGTCACCAGTCACCTTGGAGTCCAGCAGAGCCTCTGCAATACTGAGTCAGAAGCAGTCACCTCTTCTCCTCTGGCGGTGCTGCAAAACCAGGACTGTGAGGAAGATGACCCACCAGACCTCTGGGCTCTGCTCCTCTATAGCAGCAGGCCTTGTTCCTTTGTTAATGGGCCAGTCTGATCTTCACCAGACATGTGCTTCCTTCAGCTCCTCCAGCTGAAACCCCTTTCCTATTTTCTGTTACTTTCTAACTCTTATCTAATAAATCAGCTGATGCCTCTCAGTGACGTCCTGAAATGCTTTTCTGCGATGGTATGTCAAAAGTTTGCTGTACCGAGTTGAGGTTCCCAACTCCATTTATTTATTCATTTGTTCATTCATTCATTTATTCTGAGGATTGATCTCTGCTATACTTCCATCCCTTTTTATTTTTTGGTACTGGAGGTTGAACTCAGGTCCTTGTGCTTGCAAGCACTGAGCTAAATCCCCTGCCCTATATTTTTATTTTGAGACAGTGATATAGGGAATATCAGGAGATGAAATATGATCTCTAAATGATATAAGGGAAATATAATTCTCAACCTGTTAGATGTCTGACATGCTAAGTTTGTGTATTCTAAAGTTGAAGGATGAATTCTAGGAACCACAGAGGTTAAGAGTAGGAATGTTTAGGCCAGGGATTTAGCTCAGTGGTTCTGCCGCCTGCCTCGCAAACGCAGGGACCCGAGTTCGATCTCTGGTACCAAGAGTAGGAATGTTTATTGAGAGGATAGTTCCTGAGAGGCAGGTGGGGTCCCAAATGGGTAGCTGAGGACCCCACTTTACAGGGAAGTTTTATAGAGCAAAAACCACAATCAGCTACAATCAGGGCCAGGGATTTAGCTCAGTGTTTCACCTGCCTTGTAAGTGCAAGGTCCCAAGTTTGATCCGGTATTAAAAAAAAAACAAAAAAAACAAAAACTACAATAAGCCAATAAGGTTACAAGTATAGTTGCTTAGGTAATAGTGATCCAATGGGGAAACAAGTCATGTGACAAGTGTTCATGGAAAGAACAAAGACTTTTCCTAAGAATCAATGGGTCTGGAGGTCTTGGTCACCCACTGCGGAGACTGATGTCATCTAGACTTCATTAGGCCAGGTGTTACCACTTATCTTGTCCCTTGGGGAAGTAAGCAGGCCTAGTCTCCAACAGATGAGTCTGGCCACAGTTGTAGTGTTTTACCTTTGCTCTGCCTTTCTGGAGAACCTAGCCCTACCTGACTGCCTGTAATATTTTTACCTACCTTAGCTGTCTATAGTAGTCTCCCCTCTGAAGAGACATCCCTAACTGTCATGAGGGGGCAAGGGGCAATGACCACTGGATATTCCAGCTGGAAGGGAGTTGTAGTTGTAATTGGCAGTCAGAGATATTCTCTAGAGGGTTAAATCTCAGGGGCCTTGGATAGAAGTCATATAGTTTAGCAGCTATGAACTTTCTTTACAAGGTCAGTCTAGTGGGTCCTGATAAGAAGGATCTTGTGCATTTGTTGTTGGTTCATCCTTGTGGTCACTTGGAGCTTGGTAGCCTTTAGGCAAGAATAAACAAATTTTCTATGAAACTAAGGCATAAATAATCAAACCATGAATGGGAAGGCAGGTTGGGGAAAGAGCCATGTCTAGACACTGCTTTTAAGGGACTGGAGTAGCAACTGTAGCTGGTTGTCTCATAGGCCCCTCTACTGATGGAGATTATAAGTCTGATTTTATTTTTTGATACTGGGGATTGAACTCCAGTCCAGTAATATTTTTGTCACAAGTCTTTTTAATTTTAGTTGTAAGGAGATGAAGAGTTTGGTGGTTTTGAAGGACAATGTTAGCTAAAGAACTTAAAGACTCTTGTTGAGCTTTTACATCTTTTATCATAGTTTTTTAGCCTCATTGACCAATAACAGTGGTTAGCATCAGTTTAGCGGGAAACTGCCACAAGGAGTCAGTGATTGGTGCCCCTTTTTCTATCAAGCTGTTAGTACTATGGTATTTTTTTCAATATATCTTTTGGTAATATTTTTCTGCTGGGTGTTTAAAACCAAGTTAAAACGAGACCTATATTAATGAAAATTAACCTCTTGCTATCTATTAAGGTCAGATAAGTCTCCTCCGGCCTTATTTTTGGAACCATATACAAAGCCTCAGCTCCTCTGCTAGTATCAGCTGCCAGGATGGGTCACAGACTTGCTAGACCACGTTCCTTCTGTAAAAACATGGGAAACATTTTTCTCTTGGTGACACTTCTTTGGCACACTGTACATTTGTTGATTTTTGTCCTCTGGGGTCCAGCAATCTCCTTGATCAAGAGATTGGGTGACTGGGCCATGGATTTAGCTCAGTGGTTCTGCTGCTTGCCTTGCAAGCACAAGGTCCCAAGGTTGATCACTGGTACCAAAAAAAAAAAAAAAAATGCTGGGCATCGTGGTGCATGCCTGTAATCCTAGCACTCAGGAGGCTGAGGTAGAGGATTGCTGTGAGTTTGAGACCAGCCTGGGCTACGTAGTGAGTTCCAGGTCAGTCTCAACCACATAGTGAGACCCCGCCTCAAAACAAACAAAAACAAAACAAAACAAAAAAGACAGAGAGAGCGGGAGAGAGATTGGGTGACTCACCAAAGTTGTAGGATCCTCTAGAAAAGGCTCTTTCATGTCCTGGTCCTTGTTGACCTTGGAGGGCCAGGGCCAAAATATTAGCTGTTCTCTTAGCCCAGCTATCTCTCTAGTTTTGATCTCTAAACTTTAGTTGAACACCCAGAAGAGAAGATCAGTTACATCAGTATTCCAGTGGAAGCAGTGTGCTTACCTATTATAATTTGATTTGAATGTCAAGCACCTTGAAATATCAAGTATAGCCAAAGGATTTTTTTTTCTTTTGGCACTGGGGATCAAACTCAGGACCTTGTGCTCACAGAGGTAGGCACAGTGCCACTGAGTTAAATCCCTGGCCCAGCCACAGGATTATTTTTTATCAATTATGGTTGTTTTAAAAGTTGAACCTCTGCAGAATATTAATAGACAACAATTATAAAAGTTTACAGAGAATAGTATTTTAGCATGACAATCATGATATTATCTTTGAAACACATTTAAATCTCTGTCTTAGTATAGAATAACTTTTAAATTTATCATCCATATCTGGTATGTGAAGAAATTCTCACCTAATTTGTTATCCTTTAATTTGATGTCATCAAAGAAGCGTGTGACATTGTCTGGACTATTTAGTGCCTGAGCATCTCTAAGTGTAGTGACACAAATATAACTTAAACATCACATAAGCCTTTTTTTAAACAGTCATTTGACTGATGGTCTCATGCTTGTTTGACATGTATCTCTTATCATAACTAGCTAGAGCACAAGAGGAAGGCGGATATCTGAGTCTAGGAAAAAGGTTATCAACATAAATAATCTTAGTTTAACACCTTAGAAGACCTGTACACCTGGAAGGCATGAATACATTTAGTATAACATGAGATTAGCAATAGTTAATGTCACAGCTATGTGGAAACCTTTTTCTCTTAATTTAGTTTGTACTAAGGGCATTTTTTTTTTTTTTTTTGGTTTTTTGAGATAGGGTCTCACTATGTAGTTGAGACAGAACTGGAACTCACTATGTAGCTCAGGCTGGTCTCGAACTCACAGCAATTCTCCTGCCTCAGCCTCCTGAGTGCTGGGATTACAGGCATGTGCCACCATGCCCAGCCTAAGGACATTTTTTAGTAAGAAAATCTTATTTCTTTTTATTGAGTTTATTGGTACAATCTAGGTATACAGTACAGTTACATACATCATTGGGATTCTGTACCTTTACATAATAGGTCTTGATTCTCATTTTTTCCCCTTGTCCCTGCCTTCCCTTCACCCAAGAAAATCTTATTTCTTTACCCACAGAAAATATAACCTTTTGATAATAACCAACATAAACATATTATGGTAATGAGTTTAGCAATGTTTGTTGGTGTGTGTCTCCCACAGGACTCTGGAAACAATTGAGATACCATTGGAGAACAAAGGCTGGAATAAGATGTTTCCAGGCAGCTGCTCCTTTATTCATGAAGGGGAGTCCAGAATTGTTCAGAAGGCCAAAGGGTCCCCACTTGATTATCTCAACAAATTTTAGATGACCTATGAGAATGAGGCTATAATAATTAACACATTATTTTTGAGCAATGAAAGACTCCCAAATTATGGTACGCAGTCATCAATATGTATTGTACTTACAAAGCCAGTCTCTCCATCATTTTGATCAGCTGGCAACCTAGTTGGAGGCATGTCCTTAACTCTAATGAGTTATAGACAAGCATCTTAAAAATCCAAAAAGGCAAAAATAAGAAAAAATTGTTGAGCTCATACAAAACAGCTGTAAGTACTGTAACCACTTACAGATTGGGCAGACAGGTGAACAGGCACACATAAGATTTGTTTATAAACCAGAGTGCACTCAGATGTGTTTGTCAAGTGGAATTATAATAACTCTTTTATAGTTTTTAGGTTTAGAGTTATAAATAAGACCAGTGAGAACTTTTTATAGGTCAATTAACTGAGATATCTTATAATAAGAATTAGAAGGAATAAAAACCTTTCACTGTAGTGAAAGCAGCTTTTATTTATTTATTTTTCTAGTTTACCTTTGGCTGCCCATACTTTAGGGTTTATTTTTGTCTATATGAGGGGGAGGCAGTGTATTTGACCTGGGTATATGCATATCACAGTTTTTATTTTTATTTAATTTATTTGTTTTTTTGGTACTGGGGATTGAACTTGGGACCTTGTGCTTGTGAGGCAGGTGGCAGCTGCACTGAGTTAATTCCCAAGCTCACAGTTTTTCAATAAAATAAAATAAAATAAAATATCTCTCCTCAGGAAGGGAACTGGACTTTCAGGCATAATTTAAAAGGAATGGGTGAAGAGAAAGCCATCCAAGTTACAGCCTAAAGATTGTGAGAAATGGCAAGTTACCTCCTCTCTAGTGACTTCTTTTACTGAGGTATGATGGCTGGAAGGAAGGGCAGGGTTGAAGAGAAGGACCAAGAGACAAAGTTTAGCAACAGGTTGTATTTTTCCTATAATCATGATTAGCTGGGGCTCCTCTGTGTAGCTATCAGTCCAGCCAGAGGGAGAAGGCGGAGACTGCCTGAGGGCCCTTTAATCTCATTGGACCAGCTGGTCATACGGGACCAGCTGGTAAGATGGTCTGGTTTCTTGGGCCTTTAGCTCAGGGGGCAATCCGAATTCCATTGGTCACATTTACAATCAGGGCAAGGCAGAAGGGGCCTATTATGACAGTCTAGTAAGGTCTGGCTTTCCACAGCAATAGCAGGTGAATTTCGTCATCAGGCTCTTCTTGGAGCCCTGAGAATGAAACTTAAGGTCTATTTCTTTTAAGGCTAAAATTAAAACAACCCTACTCTCTTGGTCTGTTTTTTCCTCTGGTTGTTCTTTCTTTTTTATCTTTTTAAAAATTTTTATTCTTTTTGGTACCAGGGATCAAACTTGAGTCCTTGCACTTGTGAGGCAGGCAGCAGAACCACTGAACTAAATCCCTGACCCATCTTTGTTTTTTTCTTTTGGCTTCATCCTGGTCTTGATTATAAAATATGGAGGAGGCAATAAAGTGAGTCATTTAGGGCCAGGGATTTAGCTCAGCGGTTCTGCTGCCTGCCTCAAAAGTTCAATATCCCAAGTTCAATCCCAGTTACAAAAAAAAAAAAAAAAAAAAAAAGAGAGAGAGAATAACATTACATCTTTCCAGTCTAGTTCACAGGTCTGAGTAAGTTCTCTAGAGATTGCATTGTACTTATTAGGGTTGTCTAAAAACTTTCCTAAATCTTGTTTGATCTCTCTTAGGTCACTGAGAAGGAAGTACACAAGAACACAGTTATTGTTGAATTTGTCATTTCTTCCCTGTGGTTTATATTGATATTTTGAACACAAGTAAGAATTATTTCTTTTTTATGGTACTGGGGATTGAACACAGGTCCTTGCATTTGCAAAGCAGGCGGCAGAACCACTGAGCTAAATCTCTGGCCCAAGAATTATTTTTCAATGTAAAGAAAGTTTGAAATATAGTAATTATGATTTTTCTTCTTTTTTTCAGTATGTTTTGAGTTGTGAAATAGTGTCATAATCAATATTTTCTTCTGCATTCCATCTTGGCTCTAGGGACAAATATTAAATTGCTCTTTTTTAATATGTGAGGGTCAAACTCATGAGGAACGTGTGTGTGCTGAGCTTCCTGTTCAGCAGAGGGATGAAGCCAGTCACTTTGACCCACACTCACCTTACAGGGGTCCTGGGCTGTGAGGCGGGGACCTTGCCCTTGCCCAGAATCCCTCAGCAGAGGGGGTCGTGACAAGGGTGGGCACATGTATGTGGGATGGGTGCTGAGCCAGTGCTTCTCACCCACAGTGGTCAGTGGCCATGGGGACTTGTGTGGGAGCCACCTGTAAAGTTGCAGGCCTCACTGCTTTTTTTTTTCTGGTATGGGGGGTGAGGGATGGAACTCGGGACCTTGCACTTTCAAGGCAGGTGACCTCATTGGCTTTTTTTCTTCTCAGTACAGTACTGGGAATTGAACCCAGTGCTTTCCCACTGAGCTATGTACTCTGCCTTTTAAAAGATATGTTTACTTCTTTCTTTTTTTGGTACTGGGGATTGATCTCAGGACCTTGTACTTGCAAGGTAAGCACAGTGACACTGTAAATCCCAGCTCTTTTTAAGTTTTTTGGAAGAAAGGTTTATTTTGGCTCACAGTTTGTAGAGGCTTCAGTTCACACTTGGCTGGCTCCAAGGCAGGTTGACATGGCAATGGAACATTGCAGAGGAGAAAGAGTTCATGGTGGGCAGAAGGCACTAAAGCAGCACAGTAACAAAGTAGCAGCAGCAGCCTGCCTCTTCCTTTTATCCCTTCCAGGTTACCCTCCCTTTGGGTGGTGCCATCCACACCCAAGGTCAGCCTTCCCATTATCAACACCCCAAACTGTGCCAAACCAATCAGTGGACTAATTTAGTAATTATACTTCCTTAGTCTCAGCATCACACACTTAATCCCAACACCACACATCCTAGATCCAGGCACCTCTGATAAACACCACCTATGACTGCAGAAGGCTTTGGGAGGACATCTAGACTCAAGCCATAAAATTCCACTCCTGGCCTCCAAAGACTCATGTACATCCCTTTATGCAAAAAGGCATTTAGTCCATCTCCAAGAGTTGCCAATGTCCTAACAGTTTCAGTATTGCTGAAAAGTACAAGTCCCAAGTCTCTGAGATTTAAGGTAAAGTCCCAGCTGTGAGCTACATACAAAATGAAAAGAAAGCTAAATACTTCCAACATATAATGTGATAAAAAGAAAGTTAAATACTTCCAACATTCAATGGCACAAGATAGACTTTCCCATTCCAAATAGAGGAATAGAAAGGAATGGGACCAAGGCAAGTCCAAAACCCAGCAGGGCAAACATTAAGTCCCGTAGTTCCATGTCTAGCATCCGAGACAATCTGTGGCAAGATGTGAGCTCCAAAGGGCTTGGGTATGTGCCACTGTATGTGGTTGCAGCTTTCATGGCCTTTCTCTTGGACTAGCTCGGCTCTCTCCTTACAGTTTTCCTCAGACAGTCCACGGTTCTGGCTTCTCCAACATTCTGGGGCCTCCACTGCACCTTTGGATTCACACTCACAGGTTCACAAATTGCCAACTCAGTAGTAGCACACTGCCTGATCTCCCAGGCCTTCTTCTGAAATCTGGGTGGAAGCCTTCCTCACTCCACAACTCTTGTATTCTGCACGCACTTAAAATCAGTGCCATGTAGATGACTCCATGGTCTGCTGACAGCTGGAGCAGTAGCCAGGCTTCCTTATTTCTGGATGGTAGGGGTTTAATGTTGGATTCCTTAGCACTGTGAAGCAGTTCCCAAGGAACAAATTCTCTAGGCCACCCCCATTCTGGAACATAGTGCCCCAGCTCTTCTCAAAGCAGAGCCTTTTACCTTTGCAACTCTGAGGCTACAAAGGGTTCAGTCCTACTGGTTCTTGGGTTTTCAGGCCATCTTTTCTACTATCGCTGTTCCTTTTCTGCAACCAAATTCTCCTCTGCTCCATCAGTCTGAAACTTTACTAGTTTCCTTTCTGGCCAAACCTAAAACTTTCAATCACTCATCTGTGACTTTTTTTTTTTTTTTTTAACCTGGGATTGAACTCAGGACCTTGTGCTTGCAAAGCAGGAGGCAGAACCATTGAACTAACTCCCAGGTCCTGTGACTGGGTTTTGATTTTCAAAGTAGAGTTGTCTAAAAGCCCCCAACGGTAGCCATGCCACTGTGTTAACATTAGACTGCCTTGAAATTTCCTCAGTAAGAATAAATCATCTGCTGCTCTTAATTTCAGGTTCCATCAAAGTCTCAGGACAGGAGCAAATGCAGAGGAGTTTTCCACCAGAACGTAACACACATGGCCAGCAGTCCAAATGCCAGTATAATACTCCTTGTTCATAACTGAAACCTAGTGACCCTTGTCTTTATTGGCTGCATTTCTATTTATTTATTTTCAGGGCAGAGTTTCCCCATACAGTTTGAACTGGCCTTGAGCTCAAGTAGCCCAGGCTGACCTTGGATTCCGGGCGATCTTCCTGCCTTAACCTCTCTGTCTCCTAGGATGACAAACAAGCGCACCACCTGCAGTTTATGCAGCTCCTGAAGTTCACGTCTGACCCTATACTTCAGAGTTGAGGACTACCATTCCCAGGATGCCTCGCTCCTCTACCAGAGGGTCCAACGGGTCTTTTATATGGGCATGGGCCGTGAGAGAAGGCGTGTCAACAGAGACGAGCTCAGCCAATGGGTGAGTCCGACCAAGTCAAAACCTTCGCTGATTGCACAGAGGGTATTAGAATGTTTGGCGCCTTGCTTTCAATGGCAGATGCCTGATGGGTGGATATGCTGACCAATGAAAAGGTAGGGAGGCGGATCCGGAGCGCGTGGGTGAAGAGGAACGCTGACTGGCAGGCTGTTCACCCAATGAGAGGCCGAGATCGCTTGGCGAGGTGGGTGGGCGCGGAGAGTAGAGACGGGCGGGTGGGGCTGTTGTGTGAGATGGCGGAACCCGCTAGGAGAAAGGTTTTGAGGCCCCGAGCTGGGCGGGTTGGCCGAGGCGCTCGGGGTGGGCGTCCTTGCGCCCAGCGTTCTCCAGCCGGGCGCACTGTGGACACAGTGCTTGTGGACTTGGTCAGCGACAGCGACGAGGATGTCCTGGAGGTGGCCACCACGCGCGGTGCAGTGGATGCAGTTGAAGTCCAGTCCCCCGAGCCTTGGGTGCCTGCCGTGCCCCGGGGCGACAGCGACAGCGACGAGGC